AACACCACACATCTACAACCATCTGATCTTTGACAAACCCGACAAAAACAACCAATGGGGAACGGACTCCATGTTTAAAAAATGGTATTGGGAAAACTGGCTAGCAATGTGCAGAAAACAGAAACCGGACCCCTATCTGTCACCTTATTAAAATTAACTCCAGATGGATTAAAGGTTTAAACATAAAGCCTAACACCATGAAAACACTAGAAGAAAACATAGGCAAAACCATCTGGGACATAGGCATAGGCAAAGACTTCATGACTATAACACCAAAAGCATGGCAATAAAAATCCAAGACAATCAAATGGGATCTAATTAAAGTTCAGAGCTTCTGTACAGCAAAACAAACCATCATTAGAGTAAATCGGCAACCAACAGAATGGGAAAAAATTTTTGCAATCTACCCATCTGACGAAAGGCTAATATCCAGAATTTACAAAGAACTAAAACAAATATACATGATAAAAACAACCCCATTCAAAAGTGGGCAAAGGATATGAACAGACACTTTTCAAAAGAAGACATACATGAGGCCAACAAACATATGAAAAAATACTCATCATCACTGGTCATTAGAGAAATGCAAATCAAAACCACACTGAGATACCATCTCATGCCAGTTAGAATGGTGATTGTTAAAAAATCTGGAAACAACAGATGCTGGAAAGGATGTGGAGAAATAGGAACACTCTTACACAGTTGGTGGGAGTGTAAATTAGTTTAACCATTGTGGAAGACAGTGTAACAATTTCTCAATGATCCAGAAACAGAAATTCCATTTGACCCAGCAATCCCATTACTGGGTATATACCCAAAGAACCATAAATCATTCTACTATATGGACACATGCACACATACGTTCACTGCAGCCCTGTGTACAATAGCAAAGACATGGAACCAACCCAAATGCCCATCAACAATAGACTGGACAAAGAAAAGGTGGTACATATACACTGTGGAATACTATGCAGCCATAAAAAACGATGAGTTCATGTCCTTTGCAGGGACTTGGATGAATCTGGAAACCATCATTCTCAGCAAACTGACACAAGAACAGAAAGCCAAACACCATATGTTCCTACTCATAGATGGGTGTTGAACAATGAGAACATGTGGACTCAGGGAGAGGAGCAGTTGAGGGGGGTAGGGAAGAGACATCGGGAGTAGGTGGGGAGGGAGTTGAGGGTGGGGAAGGATAACATGGGGAGAAATGCCAGATATAGTACGCACCCACAGCAAAATAAATAAATTTTTAAAATTAAAAATAAATAAATAAATAAAAAGTAACAACTAATATTGTAAAAGTTTTTAGATAAATTTTACTGAGAGTAAAACTAATAGTGCATTTCTGAAGGTCAAGTTTTGCTGTGTATGTGAAAAGTTATTAATATATTTAAACATTTTAATCTAGCCATTCTACTTCTAAAAATGTATTCTGATAACATAATCAGAAATACACAGAAGCTTTTATAAAAAATTACTCTTATGGCATGTTATATACTATAATACAAAACTAAGAGCATTTAACAGATAGTATGTCACGTAGCCATTTTATAGGTTGTTATTCATGCTAGAAACAGAATAAGCTTGTTTATTTAAAAAAAGTAGTCAAAAACTCAATGACTAATGACTTCTTTTTTTCCTTTTAGGCAAAATACCTCTAAATTCAAAGCAACGCATCTAATTGTTAATTTGAAAGAAGTATACAATAAATATGCTGTATCCAAAAATCAGGAAATACAGGAGAAATATGGGTAAAATATGTAATCTGGGAAGCATAACATTAAACGTTACCCTCTAAACATTTAGCAATTGTGTTAGCAAGTTGATTTTTCTTTAAATAGTACTCTCCTGTATCATGACCACTATTTATTTCCATTACCTAATTCTCAGAACACATGCAGTGCTTCTACCTGCTGTGTACACTAATTAGGCCTTTATAGCACCAACCTTTTAACCTAACAAACCCGTTTAAGTACTTTCTATGTTGAAAAACTACATAATATTATAAATTAAGGACACAGTTTCTGTAATTCATTCAAAGGCAATTATACATAATTCTTATTATTTTGTAATTCATTTCTTTGAAAATATGAGACAGAGATTTTAAATTCTATTGAGTGATTTTATCCCCAAACCTCAGACTCATTCTGTCCTATTGATGTCTGTCATCATCACATTATATAAGGAAAATCATTATAAACCCCTCCCCACTTCTACCTCAAACTAATTCACCCCAGGTACTCAGTTGAAAAAAATGATGATAGAAAGAGAGAAAGAAGACGAACGAGAGGGGAAATAATTCTGAAGTAAAAAATAAGAAAACTTTTAAGCTTGAATGTCGTGCATCCAAATATCTCCATACTGCAAAAGTCCTTCAAGTGCACAGTAGACACACCAAAGCAGAATCATTGCTATGAAACTTTAGAACACAAGTGCCAAAGACTTACAATCTTCCAAAATGAAAGACACATTTTGATAAAACTATACACATTGTTGATACAATACTTAAAATTTTTTTTCAACTTTTTTGAAAACTGCAAATGTAGAGATACAATTCTTCACCAGATATAAACTGTTCAGAGAAAAGTCAGTCTTGGACAAGCCAGCATGGGACACAAAGCAGAGGATCAGCAAAACCTCTGCTTCTGAAGCAGAACATCTGCATAGAAATTACTAATATAGAACTATATGCCATAGTAATTGAGTTTTGTGGACTGTGAATGTATTATGTGTCTACAAATACGCTTGATTGTTTTCAAATGATTAATTATAACTTGATAATAGGATTTCATTCATTCTTATAAATCATTTGGTGTTATTTACAAAGTCCTATGGAACACAATTCTTTAAGATATCATCAAATACAAAGTAAAACATGAGAAGATTTAATATTTGGCTTCATTTCTAGGTTAAAGTATTTAAAATATTTGTTCTGAATAAATTTACTGGAAGTGAAGTCTACTGAAGCAAGGACCATTTCTGGTTTGTTTAAACAATTAGTTAGTTTTGGATTCTAGATAAGTCTTTGTCTAAGTATCTGAGAGCAAGACTAAATTGCATTACACTGGCCATGTAGGAGACATTAAGTAGAGTCCCTGTATATTTGGCATTATATTTTATATTTAATTGATTGATAATTCAGTGCCCCTAAATATAGATTATCTTAACCAAGTAGGAGTGTTGGCTGCTATAAGTAGTGGTTCATTCTTATGGGACAGGATATTCATGGTGATCTGGGTGTCAGCAGTTTTGACTGCTCCTGAATCTTTTGAACAGGACAGCACCTATATTGAATTATGCCTTCACCCTTTGACCTCATTTAATATTTTGTCCTCTTTAAATTAGTCACAATGTTGAGCCAGGGCTTAAACATATATATTTTTGGGGTACCCAATTCAGTCCATAACAGGTCCTCAATAACTCAAAGCTCATTAGGTATTTTGAAAAGTCAAAGAGTTCAGCTAGTGAAATGGCTCATACATTCTTCAATGAATAACTTTCCGCAATTCCAATATATGAATATATATTTTGGGGGGAGCACTGGATGAAAGTTACCATTTAAAATAATCCAGAAAAATGAAAATGGGGTTTTGTGAGTATTATGCATATTCTTACTTTTGTTCTTTAATGAAAGATTCAGGAAAGACTCTTGCTCTTTTTTGCTACTGCTATGTAGGAATGTCAGCCTTGAAATTGCTTTAGTAATTTTACTAATAGCCTGAGAAGGGGTAACAGACCAAAACACAATTTACTGAGAAATGGAGCCAAAGCCAGTGAAATGAGATAGTCCTGAAGTCCACACTGGCACTCTAATTTCTGATAAGTGTGCCAGAAAATTGACTTGTTATTTAAAACAGTTTGTGTTTGTTCCTCTGTTACTTGTACCTTAAATGATCCTAACAGATGCAGCAGGGCAACAGAATCTCCAGGAGCTAAAAACAAGTTCACTATTTCAAAAATACTTTTCCTGTCAAAATTATTAACTTATGGTCGGGCGCGGTGGCTCACGCCTGTAATCCCAGTACTTTGGGAGGCCGAGGCGGGTGGATCACGAGGTCAAGAGATTGAGACCATCCTGGTCAACATGGTGAAATCCCGTCTCTACTAAAAATACAAAAAATTAGCTGGGCATGGTGGTGCGTGCCTGTAATCCCAGCTACTCAGGAGGCTGAGGCAGGAGAATTGCCTGAACCCAGGAGGCGGAGGTTGCGGTGAGCCGAGATTGCGCCATTGCACTCCAGCCTGGGTAACAAGAGCGAAACTCCGTCTCAAAAAAAAAAAAAAAAAAAAATATTAACTTATATGTGAGGGCAAAAACAAATACATCTGTCGGCAAAAATAATCTTTCAGACAAAAAGATCTAAGTTTAACAGCAAGAGCCTGTAGGACAAGTGTCTAAATTACAATCCAGGTTCATTACTTGCTGCGGGTTCTCTTCTCTTATGGGTGTTCTGAGGATTATATGAAATGATACCTGTAAAGTGCTTAGAACATTGCCTGTCATGTAGTATGCACTCAATACACATTAGCAATTTTTGTGATTTTTAAAGATTGAGAGTATAAGCTTTTTAAAGACTGTCATAGAAAAGAAAATATAATTAAAGCCTATTTTCATGATGAAATTACACATCTTCAGCTATACTTCCATGAAACCACCACAAGTTTGTATAAATCTTAATCTGAGAATCACTGGATTACAGAAAGTGGCCTTGTTTAAGAGATCGGTGGCTGCCCCTAGAGATGTATGCTTCCTTTTCCATTGTGTATAGTTGTTACTAAAAATCAACAATTCAGCGGAGTCCACATTCTAACTTCTCTTGTTTAGATGACATTATGTGACTATTTCTAACCAAAGAAATGTTTGTATAAATGGTGTAAATTACTTTGTATTGAAGATTTTGCCTTGGCCAGAGGAAAATCTGACTTTCCCATTGCCTCTAAGGTAATCTCTAAAGGCTTGGAATATCCTGCATGAAAAATATGCCTTTGTTTACCTGAAGGTTTCTGGCCACACCCGATAGTCTAATAAGATGATACAAGGTGAGGTCTTTGGGTCCCACGGTAACAGCTTGACCTGCAGAAAATATGGAGACATAAGTCAGCCACATAGTTGGTAAGACAGATCCACGTCAACAGTCTCTAATTAAAACTCTAGACACTAAGACTTGGGTTATCTTCACCGGAGGTTAAATACTACACACACGTTGTCACAGATCTCCTCTGGTTGAGCACTGTCCATGACTCCACTGGAAGAGAAGAACAAGAAACTCCACATGTAGAATTTTTCTAGATTTTTGTCCCATGCATTTGTTCCCTTCATTGTATTTAATCTTTATCATTTCACTGTTACAACTGAAACTCTGGGTATAATCATTTGCAATGACTTCTAGGAATACTTCTAGTAAGTTATCTAACCTGAGGGGAGTCTTGGGGACCACTGGACTCTGCAAGTATTATTAGAAGTGAGGGTGGTTTTAAGGGCTATTCCTTAATTTCACAGTCATTTTCTGGCTAAAGAGTTTTAAAGGTATGAGTACCTTCTCCAAATGTAGATTTTGTTAACTAAGTTGATGTAAAGAATTTCAAGGCAAAGGGACTAACGGAGCCTCAAGAAAGAAGGAGTCCGGAATATAAACCAAGTTTGCACATACATCCGCATTGTATTTTTTCATGAGCAAAAAGTAAATTTCCATTTATTTAAGTAATTGGAATGTTGCTATGTATTATAACAATCTTCATAACTAATATGTTTCTTAGCCAGATTTTACTTTGAGGCGTGAAAAGATGGCATGTAAGTTTAAATAACAACAAAAATAAACAAACTTTTTGCTGATATATCAAATAATGGCAGTCACTTATTTATTGAATTTTGAATCTATGTTTTCTGCACATTTTATGTCTGATATTCCAGTAGATGCTATTAGAGTTACTTTAAGTAATAAAAATAGTTTGCTAGTAATGTCTATTCTCATTTCAGATAGAAACAATACCCTATCACTTATTTTTTTCAATTATAAAGTCCCCAATTTGACATATAATATGAATCACCTTACAACCTCTACAAATTATTTTAAAAGAAAGTAATTCTGAACTTTATTTAAAGCAACCAAACCACTTATCTACAAGGTAGAGTTTAGTTCTGCTTTATTGTTCCACTATTTCCACAAGTATAATTGCCTATTAATTTACCCTATATTTCTCCCATTCCAATTAGAATTCTCTTTGAAGTTTCCTGACCATTGAAACGAAGCCCTAGGTTTTTAGCTCTATGTAGCCAGTAGTGATTCAAATGTCAGTGCTGCAGGCTGTGAAACATCTTTTTTCATTAGCTTGAATAAAGTGACTTATTTAACTCGCTATCTTGCAATCCTAAATGTTTAATGCCCGCTGAAAATTCGCAGCTGAGATAACATCATTCTTCACACTTTGAACTTTTCAAATATTTTTTAACTCAATATGAACAAAGAGTAGCAATCTCATATCATATTTTAAGCTTTTATAGAAGGTACAGGCTATGATAAGATGATAAAACAGGAGAGACTGTCTTTTATCTACAGTTAGAGCTAAGAATATCAACATATTGTAACTGTTTATGTAAAAAGAAATCCAAAATCACCAATAGATGGCCATTCTCTTGAAGGTGTAATATTTTGCTTGTTTTAAAAAATAGTAGGCAATATGTACCAAATGAAAACGGAAAATCTACATTCTGTGGCTCCTCTTTATAGCTGCGTTATTTAATAAAAGTTTGGAAGTAAGTGAACTTATAAAAATGGAAAATTTCCTAAGTAAGCAAAATTAAACCACGTTTTATTTCTGTGTCTTGTTTGAACAGACTATTAGATGCTAATTTGAAATTTATAGTTTTCACTAGATTTTGTGTAGAGACATATCTATAGTGCCTCTAGGCAAGCAAATTAAACGTTTTTAGCCACAAATGTAAAGCTTTTAAATTCTTGCACATTCTGATATTTTACGAAGGCTTGTATATCATATCAGAATTTGACCAAGGAGAAATATGATTCAAGCCTTTTAAAATTATTTCTGTCTCACTGTAACTTTTTCTCTTACCCTGACTCTGCTCATTTCAATGAGATAGGATTTCTCTAGGATGCAAGGATGGAAGAGAGAGAGAGGACTATCTTCCTTCTCTCCCTCATATACCCTGGGTATCTGCTAGGAAGAGAAGGGAACCAGGAATGCCTGCTCCCCCTCTTTCTAGATGTACAGCCATTCACCTTCAGTCTGTACCCTTTTGGAATGCATCTTGAATCCCTGAGAATCCTTTGAAAAAAATGCCTTGTTCTTTCCTTTCTCGTCCTCAGTTCTGTCTACATGGACAGGTGACTGCGTCTCCGTACTATGGGATATTTCCCTCAGATGCATCCTCCAAACTGGAGAGTTAATTTTCCAAACGTTAAACTGCTGGGCTTAGCTGTGCTCAGTGGACAGGAACCCAGACGCCCAACATGCCAGCAAAAGGGGAAAGGTTTCCTTCACCAGTCAGGCTTGGGCCCTCCCTCTCCCCGTGCAAGCTGGTAAAAGGCCTCAGAATGTATGAGCTGCTCTTGGCCGCACCCTTGTTTTTGAAACACGTTTTCTGGCTTGTTCGTTCGTCCAAACAGCCCCAGAACCGGAGCCTCCGAGGAGGGCGCCTTCCGCGGGAGCCCTCAGGGGCCTCTGAGGGAGCTCCGGCTGCCGCTTCCCAAAACAGCGCCCTTTTAGCAGGAAGCAGTTAAGACCGGTCTTCGTCCTTACCCTTCTTCTCACGGCAGTCAGATGCACTTCATTACAGGATGGAATGCGACAGCCAGGTGCCGGGGTGCCGGGGTGCCCGGAGAACCTCCAACCAGCCTGCCCACTGAGGAGAAGCCGCCGAAGCTCGCCACACGTGCAGCGGGGAGGACGCCGACCCCTCCTCTTCCGGCGTGGAACCCGGGACGGCAACGCCGACCGGAAGTGCTCTAGCAGAAGATTCCGGCCTGCAGAAGGCTCCGTGTGTACTCATTTCCCCCCTTTTCACCCAAAACACCCTGCGTTATTCGCCTTTTAAACTATCAGCGACCCTAAATTTTTGTGGCCGTGGGACAGACAAGAACACCGTCTTTAGCTGATCTAAGGAAAAGTCCTGCAACACATCCATCCGTCTATACGAGGAGACAGGAAAGAACGACGTCAGATTTTTACTGCCTTCGGAGGGGCGATGTGTTACGTCACACCACCTCCATGTTTTTCTTTCCTACCTGGAATATGCATGTGTTCAGCATGATGTCTGATGTTGATGATGATGAGTGTCATGATGTCAGCTGAAGTGTATACAGTCGGTAAATGGTACATGTATCAGTAGTTTGGCATAACTGACATCAACATTAAGGAAATTGTGTATCTTTAAATGAAACAAAATATCAGAGAAATAGATCATAAAGCAGGGTACAATAAGTATAAACTTGATCATATTAAAGGCAGCGTAGTACCACTTAAAGAAATAACTTTCTGCACGAGATTACCTACTCCGTTTTAATTATATCTGTATAAATTAAGTATAATAATACATTCAATCGTGTGGGCACTAAACACAGAGTCAAATTTATATGATGGCCTATTGAAAATGTATGTAACATTTGGCATCTGACAACGTACCACAGCAATAGAACCAAACATTACAATTGCTTACGTAGGTAGAAATGTATTTCTATCTCATATAATTATGCAGAAGTTACTCCAGTTAGTTTAGGGATAACAGGTAGCTGTTTCACATTAAATACATGGCTTTTATCTTTTTATTTATACCTCTTCCTGACATGATTTTTGCACCCAGCAAGTGAGGAAGGAATGGTAGTACAAGGACTATGAACTCACGTTGCAATTAAGAGCGTATGGGTTCAGGTCCATTGATGTGCCAGCTAGGAGGTTGTTAAGGACCCTAAACTTAGAAGGGTCCCAACATTGGTTAGTACTTTGCTGTCACTTTTTTGAAATTCATCATAATTTTTGAACAGGGCTCTGCATTTTTATTTTGCATTGAAACCTGAAACTTATGTTGCTAGCCCTGAGAAAATGACCGAAGCATGCATTCCACAGTCATTTTGAATCTCTAATGGCCAAAATTTGGTATAAGCACAGCTTTGTCACATGAAATGCTGAAGAATGTAATAGCTTGCTGGCAGCCAAGGAAAGCTAAAAGTCAGGAGTTTTATATTAAAAGAAATAAATAATAAATATTGACTTACATCTACTAACAGTCTCAGCCAATGTCCGTGTTTTTTGTTGTTGTTCGTTTCTCTTTTTTATTTATTATTTATTATTTTTATTTTTTTAATTCCCAGAAGCTAGCAATATGACAGACACATAGTTGGTGGCTATATTTTTTTTGTTGTTGAGGAAATAAATACATGGCTCAATAATGAAATCAATAAAGCCAAACAAAAAAAAATTTTTTTTGAGACAGAGTCTTGCTCTGTCACCAGGCACCAGGCTGGAGTACAGTGGCGCAATCGCGTCTCACTGCAACCTCCGCCTCCTGGGTTCAAGCAATTCTCCAGCCTCAGCCTCCCGAGTAGCTGGGACTACAGGCGCGTGACGCCATGCCCAGCTAATTTTTGTATTTTTTTAGTGGAGAGGGGGTTTCACCATGTTGGCCAGGATGATTTCCATCTCTTGACCTCGTGATCCACGTGCCTCGGCCTCCTAAAGTCCTGGGATTACAGGCGGGAGCCACTGCGCCCCGTCCAAATCTTTTAATTTTAGGTGGACATATATCATCAAAAGGATATTAGAAAATGAGATTGGCCCAATCTAGTACAATTTATTATTAGATAACTATTCCCAAAGATTAGAAAATACTTTCAAAATTCCAGGTTCGCAATAGATAAAAGAAGATAAGTAGCGTGCCCATGGAGACATAAATGATGTTTGGTCAAACTATGATACAGAGGTAGAAAATCTCACACTCTGATTATTGCAGAATGTATCAAGTTACTCCTGGTAAAAGTAGTCTTAACCTGGAAATATTTTGGCATCATACCTTTTTTACCATAACCACATTAACTAGGAGTAATATGTTTTCTAAAAATAGTGTTAGGACAATTACATGTGATTCTAGGTTCCCAGATAATAGATTATTCCTGGTGAAATTAACATAATCAGAAACATTTTAGCAATATAGAGTCATTTGGTATAAAGCAAAACAAACAAGTGTCAAAATAATCACTGCTGTTTGTTATTACTACTGCATAAAGTAACTGATGGTCATTTTGATTACTTAGTATACTTGTATAAGGAATTTAGGAGAAGCTGCATCAAAGAATTACGTAAAAGAGTTTGAAGGCATAAAAACTGTACAAAGTTTGCGTTTCTGAAAAATATCCTTATAAAAAACTATTTAATCCCTGCTAAATTACTGAATAAATAAAGCATTAATTTGTAAATTGTAAATTTTATGCTCATTACTATGAAAATACATTAGAGTACTTAGATGTTTAATTGGAGGATACATAAGAGGAAAAGTAATGCATAGAAGGCATTATTATATTAGTTAGAGTGAAGTCTGAACAAAAATAAAAGGAGACTAATTGTAATGACTCAAAACGGGAGATACATTTATTTCTTTCTTATGTAATGTGCAGGGTATATATTTGGAAGCCACTCAAATTAGTCATGTCAGGAGTAGTTAGGGGCTCTGCCATCCTCGAAATGTGATTTTTAAGATTGTTCCTTTCATGGCCATCCACAGGCAAGAAGAAAAGTAAGAGTGAGTCCAGGTCAAGTTTCTTTTAAGTAAGTGAAATAGAAGTTGTTGTTTTCTACTAACATTTTGTTGGTGAGGATTTAGACATATAGTCAACTACTTACAAATGAGAAAAGAAAATATAATCTAGCTGAGAAGCTTTGTACCTAGGAAAAAAGAAAAGATTACTTTGAGGGGTTATATAAGTATTGTAACAATACTTCCCAAAATATATTATTAAAGATTTTAAAATCATGTTTAAAATGATTTTTACTTATAGAATTTCTAGCAATACTCTGAACATCCCATGGAATTATCATTTCTAAAACTGCTTTTATTTAGAATAATTTAGATTTACAGAAAAATTTATAAATATAGGACAGAGTTTCTATATACTGTACTCCATTTCCATGTTATTAATTTCTTAAATTTAATGCATTAAATTAGTGTCTTTGTTATAATTAATAAATATTAATACATCAAATTAAACTCTATACTTTATTCAGATTTCCTTAGCTTTTATTTACTGTCCTTCATTCACTACTAGTACACATGAGAGTAATGGCTTTTTTTATATTAACTTTGTGTCCATGCTCTTTTAGCTAACAGAGTCTAGATGCAATGACAATCCTGTAGCAATGAGCACATCCACTTTCTAGATCTTGGTTAATACCGCCTCACAAAAAAAGTAAAAAAGAAAGATTCTTTGTGAAATACCTGGTTCTCTAAGGCAGAATGACTGGGACAGGAAGTAATACAAAGTCAGCCACTGATAGAACATAACTCTCCACTCACTGAGTGTGGTGGGTTATGAACAGTGACTTTGTTTGAAACGGTAGAGTATGGAAAGGGAGAAAAAGAGTGAGCTTTTAGTGTAGACCCCAGACGAAGACTACATCAGTGAGGTGATCAAGGAAAAACCTTGATAATTTATGTTGATTGTAAATACCTTTAATATAACATAATGAAATGGGTCTATGTGGTCTTCTCCCAAAAAACATACAGCTGCAGTCTAATTATGCCAAAAATATATATTCTGCTTATGTTGAATGCAATATTCTATAAATTTCAATAGGATCAAGTTGATTGGCAGTTGTGCAAGGCTCAGCTGTGTTTTTACTGATTTTCTTCCTGCTTCATCTATTTACTTCAGGAGAGGTGTTGCAACCTCAAACTATAGTGGTAGATTGTTTCCTTTTCAATTACATAAACTTTTGCCTTTATGTTTTGATTCTCTATTGTTAGTTTGTTAAAGTCTATGTCTTCTTGGAGAATTGTCCCTTTTTCCATTGTGTAATGTTTATCTTTATCTCTGAACATTTTCTTGGTCTGAAGCCTGTTTCTTCATCAATGAATATAGCTACTTCAACCTTCTTTTGACTGACATTAGTATATAATATATTTTTCTATTCCTTTACTTTTAAGGTGAATTTTTATATAAGTGGGCTTCTTTTAGAAAATATATAGTTAAATCTTTTTTGTTGATTATGACAATCTGACCTGTTGTATTTAGACCATTTACATTTAAATTGATTGTTGAATTACATAGATTAATATCTACTAGTTTTCTACTTGTTTTTATTGTACTTACTCTCTATTTTTCATTTTTGCCTTTTCTGCTTTTAATTGAGAATTTTTACCATCCCATTTATCTTTTTTTTTTTTTGCATATCTGTTTTAGCATATACTACTTTAAAATATATATTTTATTGGGAGGCTGAGGCAGGCAGATTACCTGAGGTCTGGAGTTCGAGACCAACCTGACCAGCATGGAGAAATCCCATTCTCTACTGAAAAGACAGAATTAGCTGGGTGTGGTGGTGCATGCCTGTAATCCCAGCCACCTGGGGGGCTGAAGCAGGAGAATTGCTTGAACCCACAGGGCAGAGGTTGCAGTGAGCCAAGATCACAGCATTTCACTCCACCCTGGGCAACAAGAGTGAAACTCTGTCTCAAAAAAAAAGAAATGTATATATATGTGAATTTTCTTGAGGTTATAATATAGATTTTTAACTATCTTAACTCCAACATTAAATAACACTATGCAGCATCATGTTGGTACAGGTATGTTGTAACAGAATAATTAAGAAATATTATCTAGATTTTGCAGGTTCAAAAGAAAATAATATAAATTGATGAGAAAATATCTATAAAAGAGTACCATCTATTAAACTATTTGTGAATTTAGCATAGAAAATTATAGACCGAAATATTCTGGAAAGTTGGGGGGGGGCACAAAAAAGTCAAGTATTACATAAT